ATATATATATATATAAATCACCTTTAACAAGTGAACATAAATATATTTAAAACAAAGCATGAGGCTCATAGCAAATTATTACTGCAAAATGTACGTGGAATGTTTCTGGCCTTAAGATGAATCATGAAACAGATAATCAATAACCCTCTATTATATAATCATTGATGTCTTCTAAATATATACTCCATCTGCAAAAGTATTCAAGACATAAACTAAATAATCTATATGGGCTAATCTCTCTCTGTCTCTGTTGCAGGCTCTTGGAAATGAACTACTGGTAGGCCTCACCACCCTTCCCTCCAACAGTCTACCAAACTCTGCCACACATTGCAGCTTAATGCTTGAGGCTGTCTTCAGCATCAATCTTTTGTTGCCCGTCCTTCATGTCCTTAACACGGGGCACTAAACACTACAGACAACAACACTGAAGGAACAGTTCAGGGGAAAGTGGACCATGTAGTATCATTCCTCCATATAAATATGCACATAATTCGTTCTATCTATTTTTATGTCTAAACAGTGCAGTTCCACCTGCCAGTGTTTTTACTTACAATGTGGGAGCATTTTGCAGAAAGGTGTCTGCACATCTGTAGATTTGTGCGTTTCTGAAATGAAGGAATGGGTGAAATGCAGTCATTTACAGCTCTGATGGACTAACCCCCATCTTGGCTATTTAGCTGTATTTTTATTTGAAGTTCATATGAAAATATAACGCAGATGTGTGTGATACAGTGACATGAACAATGTGACCGTGATGATTTGTTGTAGCAACAGCAGCTCCTTTTGGAAAAGCTGTTCTGGAACTGAATGGAGTAAAGCAGTGGATGTTGTGTTTGCCCCATCTTTGGTACTTTGAGTGTTAAGAAAGATGCTGGAGCAAGAAGGAGCAGTGATATCACTGTGCTGCTGAAAAAGGAGCATTATTATTACCACCACCAACCAAGAAACATCACCCTGAACGATGACTCTGAGCCCATGTCCAGAGGTGCTACACGGAGGAGATGTCTCAAGCTGGAGAACTTAAAACACTCTGACATAATTATCATCCTCTCCATCAAGACTGCTGACCTTTCGAAAAATCCCTCACATAATACATTGGTTCATCACTAAAGCTGCTAAAGCTGTTTATAGAATATATGAGTTTAAGTCTTTATCAGCAAAGACACGTTCTGTTACGTGAGAGGAAATAACCAGCGGAGCAGTAACTCTACTTGTGGCTGCTGTGCCATGTGTTCGGGAGTGTAAAACCCTTTTAGTCTCATTGTGTCAGTGGATGTTGTCCATCGAAGATCTGAGTTTTCACACCACAGAAGGAAGCAAAGGTTTGATGTACTGAGTGCCACTAACAGCAGTTTGATCAATCTGATATGAATAAATTATTGAGAATTTTCTTTTCTGGGAACATGATGTGAATTTTGAACAGGTGTATCACACAAAAGTCCTCAGCTCATTATGTATAAAAAATTGTAACATTCAACATTTTTAATTAAATGACAAAAGCTTTGTTTGGTGTGATTGATTTTCGGAGGACACGGAATAAACACAGACTAAATAATGATCTAACTAAACTAAATGAACAACAGATGTCATGTTGAGTGAATTATTCTAATGAGAAAACAGGATTTACGATATAATCTCACCATTTCTGACCATGTCTGATTCATCTGTAAGAAGCTTATGAGCACCTCTGAGCCACTGAGTGTACTATGGCCACAAAAGAGTTTCAGGCCAATAAAATCCAAAAATCAAATAAAAAAAACAAACAACATTGATCAGCTAATATCCCCCCAAATAACAGCTTTCTATAACAGCTTAAATTGAGCTTTTCTTTTTTGCTGGCCTTCACACATCAGCACATAAAGCAAATCCTGATATGAATATGAAAAATTAACGATTGGACCAGACTGACATGCTGTTTCATAAGATTTTTTGGATAGTTAAAACGGGTTCGATTTTCATGTCTTCTTAATTAACTGAATCATGTGATCACATCTGCTGAGGAGACACAGTCCAAGCCAAGTGACCATCTCTGCTGACATCCTGGAAACAGAAACATTCAGAAACTTTTTAGTCAGTGTTTTGAAAACGGTTGATATGTCATCGAGTTGATAAGCCTCTCACAATTTAACATTTCGCAAAGCCACACCTCCCTCATCTACTGCACAATAACAACCAGTGCATCTCCGATCACCCATCTGGTCACTACACACTTCAGACCCACTGGTCATTACTGTTGAAAACACCAGTAGTAGGTGTAAGTCGTCGATAATTGCTAGGTTAACCTAAACAAAAGCCAATAAGTGCACTATTAGCCCAAATTGGATAGCCTGTCCACCATCTTTTATTTAGTATACTGTACGTGTAGTACATGAGAGTGGTAATGCCAACTACGTGACTCTTCACTTTAGGGTTCTGATCTGTCCAAGTGATGTGAACTAACATCATACTACGCAAAAATCTGAAAAAAAGTAAATGTTCTTGCTCCATTCATCGACAAACCTCTGTGATAGTGCTGCTTACGTAGGTCTTTTCGTTTTCATTAAAAGGTCATTTTTAGAAGTATGTGCAACATATACATCCAATTTCAAGTGCACCTGAGATGGTTGGGATGAATCTGACTGCTTTGAACATAATCTGCTCAGTTGATTTATCACATGCTCATTACTCCATGAGTGATGCATTTTCATTTTTTTCCTCTGCAGGTATGTGTTGGTGGGTGGGAGGATTTATTTTACAATTGTTTCCTTTATCTCTGATAAACCAGTGCACAATTAATAAAAAATAAGGATTGCACTCAAATTATGACTGCAGAGTGTGTGAAATAAAAGACCTAACCAGGATAGATGCTTTGTTATATTCCCCAGCAGTAGAGTTTCAGTTTTGCTTCCATATATTTCCAAACTCATAAAGTTTATTACATAAAAGGAGTAGTCAAGGCTATGAAGAAATTCAATATGCATCAAGTGAATGTGAGTTT